TTGTATCACTTTGAACGGATGAAATAATTGAAAAATGTGATAAATGAAAAATTGGCCATTTCGCTTTTTTCCCCTAAAAATAGCTATTTGTAAACTAATTATTGTTCAAGAATATTAATGAGTAGGTATCGTAGTGTTTACACTGTGTCATAGAACAACTATATTCTTGGCTGTTATTATAGCTAACCTGTCACTTAGCTTCCCCAGACCTTTAAGACAAAGATAAGAGAGGCAGCTTGGGGGATTGGTGAACTCTGACTATCTAAGTAGTGTCTAAATGAAATACAGCCACATCCAGAACCCAGCCATTCCCCCAGCTACATTCAGAGGCTTTAGGTCCCCTCAATATTGTGGAGAAATGGGAGAGAAAGCCAGGCCTTCCCCTAGTTAGTGATACAGACAACCTGAGCCCACCTGGGGCAAATTCAGTCATTGCATAATGGGCAAGTGAGGGTCCATCAAGATTTAAAATTCACTGCAGTGCGTTTGTAAAAGGAGAGCTTTTCCGAAGATACTTGTGAGTTTGACAGTATGTTGCTGTCTGTCTTGTAAAACAGAATGCAGTTTCTTAGTAACTTCTTCAGCCCTGCTTGCAAATGGTTGTACTTAGGGGTCTTTCTTTTTGCTTGTTTTCTGTTCTATCAAAAACAATATAAAGGCTGTATGATAAGTAACTGAGAGGCTTCATGGGCAGAGAAAAAGTCTAGCTTTTGGAATCACATAGGCCTATATATCCCAGCTCTGCCGCTTACTCCGTGCCCTCAGATGTTATTCAAAACCTACCTCATAGAGCTGCTGAGGATTATCAGTAAAGCATTTTGCACAACATAAACATTAAATGGTCAATATTAATCCTGGCATTTAAAAAGCCTTGGTTAATCATTCTCTTGATAAAATTTAACTTGGCATTTCGTCTAAGCCTGCCTGGCTTTTCCAGGTGCCAGAGGTGTTGCCGGGGCACACTTGCCGTTTGCAAGGGGCCACGTTAGCAAGGGGCCAAGTGCTGTACGGGTACCAGGTCTGAGTGGGGCTTTCCCTTCCTTCAGCTGCACTTGCATTTCGCTTTCTTGGTTCAGATCAACCTCCACTTACTGGGCCCCTATCTGTCAGAGGATTTCTGTCCCCAAAGATCTTATACCACATGAGAAACATGCATGCATACAGGAGGTTACGCGGTCTGCCTCTCTTTACAGGAACTGCCACTTTCACCGTGCAGAAAAAAGCTGGTGGAGCCAGAGTGGCAGTAAGAAAGGCTGTGCAGTGTCCAGTTGCCTTCCCAAAAGGTAAGGGATAAAGAAAGAATAGAAAGTTCTTGGGTTTACTACCAAATTTTTAAAAATTATAAATCACTTAGAAATTTCAAGTACAGATTTCAGAGAAAAGCGTGGCTTTGTGGTTCAGAGAGGAGGCTGTGGAGTTTAGCTTGCTTGGAGTTCTAGTTCATTACTCACTCTTTGGCCTGGAGCAGTTCCTAATCCATTTGTGTCATCTTCAAAATACGGATTATAATAGTGAGAATGTCTGTAATGGGCTTACCACGGTGCCGAACACGAAAGCACAGACTCAGGGAGGTGAGCACGTAGTCATGGAGCACACAGACCACGTAGTCATGGAGCACACATGTCTGGGGATTTTTGGCCTGATTTTGCTCCAGCATTGGGTACCTGCCCACATTAGGTGCACTCTGATCAACCGGAGAGGGAAGCTACACCTAGCATCTCCCAGCCTCCCCTGCCCTCAGGTACTTTTGGCACAGTTTAGAAAGCACTTCCACAGTCGTCCTCCTGTTCGCTATCCTGGTAGATAGTCAGGGCAGCTATTACCCCTACCTTAAGGCTGAGGAGACCACGGCCTAGAGAAGTTAAGTGCCCTGTTCAGATCCAGATAAATGGACCCATTTCTCACCTCCAGATATAAAGCTCATCCTAAAGGGCCCTCAGAACTAGTCTCCTTTGCCCCAAAGAACAGAAAGTTAATATATTAGCTTAGGTTCTGGGCAAAAGTCATCTCCATCTTGGGCAAATTATGTAGTCTCTCTAAGCCTAACTTTGCTCATCTGCAAAATGGGGATAATAACACTTTCCCCATAGCATTTTCATGAAGAGCATTCAGCAAGGAGATAGACCAAATTAAGACTTGCTGATTATTGGGCTATAGGATGTATTAGAAAGAGAAGGATAAAGGACAGTTGGATTTTAACAGCATTTCCTGGGATGGGAAAGACAATTGGAGGAACAAGTTTAGGGATAGAAGTGAACATGTTAAGGCTGAGGTGTTTATTGCACATCCAAGTAAAGTCAAGAAGACAGTTTGTAAAGCTGAAGTAAAGCGTTGAGAGTTGTCAGCATGTAGATGATACTTACAGCCACGGAATTAGGCGAGGTCAGCGGGGAGCAGTGTAGACGTGCAAGAGGACCAAGGGCCAGGTCCTGAGGCACTCTGGTGAGTTCAAGGGATTGAATGCAGGTAAAGCACTCAGTCCCTAGTAAATGCCAAAATGTGTGCTGTTATCGTTTTGAGGGGGCTTATTTTTTGGAGGTATCCTTTGGGACATGAGGTTGGTAGAGCTATAAAAGGCCAGACTGTCCAAACTTCACTCTGTAACCCTTTCTTCCCCTCTTTAAGGAGCCACATGACTACATGTCGGGACCTGTGTTTACTTCCCGACATGCCCCATGTCTTGGGTGTTTCTTCAGGTCATTTTGGTGAGGGTCAGAATGTGTTGTAACATTGACTTTGGAACATGAAGGTGTGAGGTGGGACAGGCTCCTCTAGGGCCTTGTGCAGAGAAGCACTGTGGGTTGATGAAGTTGCTAAGCTGCCTCTGGGCACTAGCTTGGGTAAGTTTCTTTTCTACAAATACTGATATTCAGTAAGGAGAAAGAGGGCCATAATGCATCACTGCACCTAGCCTGATACCTGTGCCGAAGGCAGGTTGTTGGCATAGAGCCAAAGTGAAGATGCCTAAAATGTTACTCCTAGGAAGTCTCCACGAGACTTTCCGGAAGAGGCAGGGAAGGCCCAGGTCTTTGAGTCCACCCAGCTTCTCCACAGTTCTGGGGCCTCTCCTCCCTGGACCTTGTCCTAGAGGTTATTCTTACTTTTAAAATCAAAAGAGGTGGCCTGAATTCAGTTTTTCTCTCTCATCGACAGAACAGAAATTGATAGTACTCTAAAGCGAACTATATCCAGACCTTATGATTCAAATATTAGGTGAAATGTGATTCAGTGATAAAAGTCACACTAAATGAACAAACTTATAAATGAAACAGTCCCGATGCATATTTTTTTTTTTGTCTTGACAGGCTCTCCTGCTTCATGCCGTGGTCCGCAGCATACGAAAAAGCACGGAAGTGTTGGGCTGGCACCTCAGACCAGGGAAGTGTGTATAGAGTACGAGAGGGAGGAGACTGTGGTGAGTCCCTGGATGTTACCTGCAGACATTCATAAGATTCTTCATGAGACTCACAACTCCTTTCTACAAGTAAGCATCGTTCCAGATTTCAGTTTGCCTAGTGATTCCTCTGTGTTCTTCAGGGGTTTTTTGTGTGTGTGTGTGGTGGACAGTTATTTTTTTGTTGTTTTTCTGTGAGATGTAGAGATACTGAGATTGTTAGGCCAGTTTGAAGTAGTGATTCAAAGCAACTATACTTTTAGCTGAATACTCCAGCATTTCTTTCAGAATTTCCCCTAAATTTGTATTTTCTTAATAAAAGACCACAAACATGTAAGAACAGATCACTGTACAATAGGTATAAAAATCCATTCTGTCTATTCTTCAGCCCTGGTGCCAGCATCGAGCTGTGTCAGGTGATGTCCAGCTCATTGCCAGCGCAGACAGCCTGGGCAGCCATAACTTTTCGTATTTTCTTCACCATTTGCTGGATGAGCAACTCCAGAATCTTTGAATCATGTTCCATTTATTTTTTCTCGGGCTAAGACCGCCACTTACTACTATCTTTCTCAATTTGACAGGACTTGTCACAAACCGAAGAAGAATCGGAGCCTCCTTTTGGGGTGGGTGGCACAGACAGCGTGTCGGAGAGCACTGGCAGCATCCTCAGCAAGCTTGACTGGAATGCCATCGAAGACATGGTCACCGGCGTGGAGGACGAGAGTCTGTCTGCCCAGTGGGCGCTGGGCCTGTAAGGCCTAAGTGTAATTCTGTTTTCCAAGCAAAGGCCGGCACCTCGGTCACGTAGTTCTGAAAGGTGTGTGCGCTTAAGGAAGTAAAACAATGAAGTGATGTGAATTCACCACCTGCAAACATATTACCTGGATTAGCCATTTCAAAAGGGAAAATAAACAGTTCTCAATAATTTTGGATTGATTGGAAAGGGTTGTTGAATGATAGATGTATTATATGTTTTTGCATTTGACTTATCTTTAGGAATAATTTTTTAATTGATGAAAGAATAAAATTTAAGCTCTTTAAGTAGAAATCTTCTATCTTGCCTCCTCCTTTACTGCACCCTGACTTTGAGAATAAAACCTCATATGGGGAAACCTGATGATAGGAAGAAAAATCCGTCTTACCTCAGACACTCAATAATGAACTCCATTTTAAACCATATCCTAAAATTTACCTGTGCAGAGCTTGGCCTGGGAGTGACAAGGAACCAGCCATTTTCCACCAATCCTGAACTTCTAACGTTCACATAGGCCAGATCTGCCCTCTGCCCTGTAGCCTGAAAAGCCTTGGAGGAAGAAATAGGGATGGATGGATGCTTTGGGTGGGAAAGAAAGGGAATGTGACTCCTGACTCCAGAAGGATCATGTTAACTTTGTGAAAACCCTGGTGCCTGATGGTGGAGTAGGTAAACACTGTGCTTGCCTCCTTCCACAATCATATCAGAATTACAACTAAATTATAAAAGTCATCACCAAGAACCATCTGAAGACAGGCTGAACAGTATTCCTAAAGCTTTATATAAGGATATAAAGAAGCCATGCTGAGACTGGTGGGAGGGGAGGAATGGGCAGGTCCCAGCCCACATGGGGTTCCCGTGCCTGGGAGAGGAGTCCCCGTAACATCTGGCTGTGAAAACCGGTGGGGGTTGTGTCAAATCTGAGCTCTTCATTAACCTGGCTAACATCAGGTTCACCTGCCCTAGTGATTCCCTGAGACTCCACCCAACTCAGGTCTGGCAGCTCCTCCACACACGCAGCCTGGCCCAGCTCACACTGTAGACTTCCCTGCACTCTCAAAGGTCCACAAACCCCAAACAAGACCTGTACCTCTTGCCAACCTACCCAAGCCTGGCGTAAGCAGCGGCCAGTCTTGGCTTGGAAAGTAACCTCTAAATAGCCACAAACCTGGCACAAATGGCAGCTGGCCTCAGCTCATATCATGGTTCCCACCAAAGGGTCCCAACCAAGCCTATCACTGGTGGCAGCCGGCATCAGTTCACAGAACAGCCTCTCACCAGTACCTCCAAGCCCAGTTCAAGCAACAACCAACTGCAGATTTCTGTAGCCCTACGAGATGGCCCCAAGCCAAGCATAAGCAGTGGCTGACCTTAACCTGCACCGGAGCCCTCCAATAAGGCTCCAGAACCAACACACCTGGTCACTGCCTTCAGACAACATCGGAGCACAACCAGTCAGCTCCACATAAGCAACACCTGCTCAATAGAGTCAGCACCTGCACAGCACATGTCTGATGTAGTTGCAACCAGCTGTCACAGCCAGTCAGCCAGATGGCCAATCTCACCCACTGATGTGTCAATAGCAATCAAGAGGATTGCACATGCAGGAGAGCACATGCAGCCCACACAAGAGGCACCTGGCTCAGGTCGCCATGGAGGCTGTGCCACTGGGCCCCACAGGATACCTACTACATAAAGCCACTCTGCTAGGACCAGGAGATGTAGCAGATCTACCTAATACAGAGAAACAAATGCAGGGAGTCAGCCCAAATGAGGAGAAAAGGAACATGTTCTGAATGTAATAGGAAAAAAACTCCAAAAACAGAACTAAATGAAATGGAGACAAGCAATCCACAATTACAGAGTTCAAAACATTGGTTGAACTTAGGGGAAAAATAGATAAACTCAGAACCTCAACACGACAAAGAGATAAACATAAATATGAAGCTAGAAAACAAAAAGAACTAGTCAGAAATGAGGAATAAACTGAAATGAAGAATACGTAGCAGACAAGCCCAAGATGTTGGCAAAGATGGTGAACTGTATGTCTGTAATCATTAGAATCAGTAGCAGATTAGATGAAGCAGAGGGTCAAATCAGCAATCTGGAAGACAAAGCAGAAAACGCTCAATCAGAACAGCAAAAAAGAATTTTTTAAAATGAGGATTTTTTTAAGGGACCTCTGAGACAACATTAAGTATACTAACATTTGCATTATAGGGATACCAGAAAGAGAAGAGAGCGCAAGGAATTGAAAACCTATTTGAAAAAATAATGACCAACCAGGTTTCCTACCTCGGGCTAGTGCGCAGACTACATCTAAGTTATGCCCAACAGATAGGGTGATTACAGACCTACAGTTCACCATCTTTGCCAACATCTTGGGCTTGTCGCTCTTCCTGCTTGTCATTTTCTATCACCATGTGGCTGTCAACAATCCCAAAAAGAATGAAAGTGGCACTGTGTCTGCCTCAGGGTTTCAGAACATAGTCTGAGGCAAGATGGAGGATGTGAAGGGTCTTCATCCTTCTACCCATCACAACCTACAAAGCAACTACACCTTAATTTCTCCAAATAACTTTAATTTCCTCAAAGTCTTCCTTAATTCTATGGAACAAGAAGCTGCTACTGAGTAGGGCCAGTATAGGGGCTGCTTTCTTTTCTACTTCCCCCTAGTACAAAAAAATATAAATTAAAAAATAATAATGACCGAAAAGTTTCCTGATCTGGCAAGGGAAATAGTCACACATTCAGGAAGTACAGTGAGTCCCAAACAAGATGAACCCAAAGAGTCCCACATCAAGACACATCACAATTAAAATGACAAAGTTTAAAGACAAAGAATCTTAAAAGAAGCAAGAGAAAAGCAATTAGTTACATACAAGGGAGCTCCCCTAAGACTGTCAGCTGATTTCGCAACAGAAACTTCGCAGGCCAAAAGAGACTGTCACTTTTTCAAAGTGATGAAAAAACCTACAACCAAGATTGCTCTACCCAGTAAGACTACCAATAGAATCAAAGGACAGAGAGAGCTTCCTAGACAAGAAAAAGCTAAAACAGTTCATCGCCACCAAATCAGTATCACAAGAAATGATAAAGGGATTTATTTAAGGAGGGGAAAAAAAAAGATAACATGAATAAGAAAATATAGAAAAGAAAAAAAATTGACAAATGGAAACACAGTAAAAGCAGTGGATCAACCATCTATAAAGTTACCACAAAGGTTAAAAGATAGAAGTAGGAAGATCGGGTATAATTACAACAATAAATTAAGGGATACACGCAAAACATACAAAAGAAGTTGAAAAAATGATAAAAACAAGTGCGGAGGGGGTGAGTAAAAATTATAGTGATTTTAGAATGTATTCAAATTTAAGTATCCATCAACTTAAAATAGAGTGCTATAAACATAGCTTGGTATGTATGAAGTATATGGGTAACCACAACCCCAAAACGTGTAAGAGACATGCAAGAATAAAGAGAGAGGATTCCAAACAGCACTGTGGAAAGCCGTCAATACAGGAGAGAAGAGAGCAAGAGAATAAGAACAGAGAAGAACTAAAAAACAACTAGAAAATAAAATGGCAGTAACTACGTACCTATCAATAACTAATTTAAATGTAAATGAACTAAATGCTTCAATCAAAAGACACAGGGTAGCTGAATGGAATAAAAACAAAAAACAACAACAAAAAAACCCCAAATTGGGTAAAGGCAGTCTCTGCAATTAATGGTGCTGGGAAAATTGGACAGATACATGCAAGAGAATGAAACCAGACCACTGTCTTACACCATATACAAGAATAAACCCAAAATGGATAAGATTTAAATACAAGTCACAAAACCGTAACAGTCCTAGAAGAAAACATAGGTAGTAAACTCTCTGATATTGCTTTCAGTAATATTTTGGGGGGTATGTCTCCTTGGGCAAGGGAAACAAAAGTAAAAAGAAACAAATGGGACTATATCAAACTAAAAAGTTTTTGCACAGCAAAGAATACCATCAACAAAACAAAAAGCCAACTGAATGGGAGAAGATACAGATAAAATATATACAACTTAACATCAAAAGAACAATCCGATTAAAAAATGGGCAGAGAACCTGAATAGACATTTCTTTAAAGAAGACATACAGATGGCCAATAGTCATAAAAAGATGCTCAACATCATTAACCATCAGATAAATGCAAATTAAAACCACAATGAGATTATCATGTCACATACATTCTGACAGAATGGCTATCAAAAAATCAAGTATTGGTGAGGATGTGGAGAAAAGGGAACCCTTGTGCACTGTTGGTGAGATTGCAAACTGGTGCAGCCACTATGGAAAACAGTTTAGAATTCCTCAAAAATGTTTAAAAAGAACTACCAAATGACCCCACAGTTCTACTTCTGGGTATTTGAAGAAAGCCAAAACATTAATTAGAAAAGATATATGCACCCCTGTGTTCATTGCAGAGTTATTTACAATAGCCAAGTATCCATAAACAGAAGAGCGAATAAAGAAGAGGTGGTACATATAAACAATGGAATATTGCTCAGCCATAAAAAAAAAAAAAAAATCCAAAAAACAAAACAATTCATACCATTTGCAACAAAATGGATGGACCTAGTTAGAAGGTATTATGCTAAGTGAAATAAGACAGGGAAAGACAAATACTATATGATTTCACTTATATATGGAATCTAAAAACCAAAATAAATGAACAAACAAAACAGAAACAAACTCATAGATACAGAGAAAAAACTGATGGTTGCCAGACAGGAGGGCAGTTGGTGGGCTGAGTGAAAAGGTGAAGAGATTAAGAAGTAGAAATTGGCAGTTACAAAATAGTCATGGGGATGTGAAATACAGCATATAGGGAATATAGTCAATAACATTGTAATCACTGGTGTCAGGTGGGTACTAGACTTACTGGGGTATCATTCATTGTAAGTTATATAAATGTTTAACCACTATGCTGTACACCTGAAAATATAATATTTTATGTTAACTGTAATGAATTTTTTTTTTAATTATTAAGGAAAAAATCATGGTGCCAGAGACCTGGGTAGTTTCTGGTACTGCACCCAAATGATGTCATAATTTTGGAGATAATTTTTATGAGAAGAAACTAAAAACCTTTACCTACTTGTCAGTTTTTGGCATAGTATCAAAGAATGCTATTATCTGAAAAAGCTATTAAATATTCCTTCTTTTCCAATGACATACCTGTGTAAGGCTAGGTTTTTAATATACTTCAATCAAAATAACATGTGAGAGGTTGAATGCAGCATGAGAATTAGGCTGTCTTTT